GTGCGTGCCTGTGCACGCTTTGGTTGAGTGTGAGTCAAGTTGCTGTGATCGGGGCGCCTCTCCTTCAAGGTACGAAAGGGACCGTCTAGTTCCCAGTTGGAGCCCTAAAGCTTGAAGGAAAGAGTCCGCCTCCATTATGGAGGAGAGTTTCAGAGTGGTGCCATTGTGCTCTACTGACAGGACCTTAGGCATTGTCCAATGGTAGGCCAGTCTGGCTTCTTTTAGTCGGTGGGTCACTGGGCTCAGAGTTCTCCTCTATTGGAGGGTGGTCCTGGTTAAGTCCTGATAGAAGGTGAGTTTGGAGGACTCGAATTCAAGCAGTGTTTTGCTTTTCACAGCTGCAAAGTTATTATTTCTGTCTGTTAGGGATTGGCACCGTATGATCACATCTCTGGATGCCAGTAATGGTGCCTGTCTTGGTTTTTTGATGCAAGAGATTCCTTCAAAAGCTAGCTTTTTTGCCTGTATGTGCAGTAGTAAGGTAGCGAAGAGGCATCTGACGTCGTAGTGTGGCAATTTTGACTGGCCTATTTCATCAGGGATGCCTCTGATTTTTATGTTTGCTCTGTGGCTTTTGTCCTCTGCGGCATCTAGCTTATAGATTGGGATGATTGGAGTTGCAGGCCCTTCACTTCTTGTTGTATGTCTATTATGTCCTCCTCTGAGGTTTTCACGTGGTCGGTCACCGCCTGGACCTCCGCTTCAGTTCTAACAGGAGGTTCTGAATGTCAAGTTTGGTAGCCGAAGTCAGTATGTCAGGATCTACCTGCGCTTCTCGGGGTGATTGCGGTTCTATGGCATCTCGCAAGGCTTGCTCTGAGCATGTGGAGCCCGTGTCCGGGTCAGGCGTGGCAGCCATCTTTGGGGCAGCGGGGCGCTGAAGCATTGCGCCTATGTCCCAGGTGTCTTTACATGCACCTTTTGCTATTCGCAGGGATTTCCGTCCCATATCTTTAATAGGAACCATTCTGTCAATCCTGTGAAAAAAAACCTCTTACACCAAGAATGGATGTGGGTACTAAATTGAATCTCACAGCTTTTGCTGATGACTTGTTTACGTTTTCCAATCTGATTAAATGATAGAGGTAGATATGCAGCGCTTATCTAAATGTAAGGCAATCTGTACACCTTTTCACCCTAAAAAAAGAAATTCCACTTTCAGTGGGCTAAGAATTTCATCTGGGTATTAAAATCACTCCCTCTTCAACAATTTTCCACATCACATCCAAACCAAGTCCACAGATTTTAAAAGATGAGATCTTATGCCAAATTCACATCACTAAGAATACATTAGCATGTATCCTATAATTCTGCAGCGGTGTACAGTCATTTGCCTAAGTCATTTTTCTCCTCCTTAGAGTCCCTTTTAAACACATTTGTATTATATTGGTAAACAATCCCAGCTATCCTAATAATCACTGACTAAAACCAAAAGAGGAGCTGCAAAAATTAGTCTGGGTAGTATGATCTTCATCTTGTGGTTTGGTTTGGTTCACTTAAGTAAAGTATTCCATGGAAAATATTCAGTAAACAGATTTGCACAAGCCAGGAGGACAGGAAAAAGGTACATATGAGTGTGCTGCAATGCAAAATCGGCTATAACAATATTGCTTACTTGCCTAGTTTAATGGCTAAACTATACCAGGCATTTTTGTAATGCCAATTCTGAGTTGTCAAAATAAGGTCTCAATTTAATAGTTTTGGATATGTTTTCTTATTTTTGGATAACCTTAAAATGAAAAGTACTATACAAAATATTTATATATTTTTAAATATTTTGATACATTCATGTTTTTTACATATGATATTCTTTTGATATTTTAATGACTTGAAAAAATATATTTTAAAAGTTTATCCAAAAATATTAAATTATTTAAAAAGCTTTTCCAAAAATATTAAATAAAGCCCTTCTCAAGGTGAATGAGTGAATGGGTCATCTTCTACCAACTGTGCCTGCAAAAGTAGCAGGCATAGCCATCCCTCAAAACTCAACCAGAAAATGAATAAATGTTCCAAATTGACTCTTATTGACTCAAAGACTAAAATGACTCTTACCTTGGTTTACTCTATTTACAAAGACTTAGAAAAGGTTGTGTAACCCTTTCAAGACTTATCTATGGCAGCCACCTTTTGATCATGATAACATCTATATGTAATGTTTAAATTCAACAGGACTAGTAAAAATCAAACTAAAATTAAGAAAGCTGGTCCCATTACATGGAGAAGCCTTCTCAAAAGTAGTAAAGTGCCTATGAATATAGACTGGCAGGTGTGAAATGCGTAAGGCTCTTTGTGCTTCTGGCTCTCTTTGCTTTCATTTGGACTAGGAGTAGGACTTCTTTGCTTGACACCTGTAAATTACCTGTAAGCCTGTTGGTTACTACTTATATTCCAGACTCTGTGTTAGCTCATCTTTTTATATATTTTTATTGCTGGTAGTAATCTTCGGCTGAATTAAGTGGTTTAGGTGCATAGAGTATGTCCCTGTACTCTATATAATTAATAAATGTTTTTTTATAAACCTTTACGTACTCACAAAAAACTCAAATTACTTTAACAATATATTCAGTAAAAAGTAATTCTTACCTGCAGACTTGTTCTTTTTCTTGGCACTCAAAATTGTCAAAGAGGCACTCTGCAGTGTTACACAATTCATCACATTGTTCATTAAAATATTCCCAGCATCTTAGGGAAGATGAACAGTTGGCCCATGGATCTTCCATGGTCAAAGAGCAATCCCCTCCATCAAAAAGACACTCATGCGTATTACATTCCTTATCACAGTAGTTATCTTTTTTTTTCTTTGCACATTCAGGAATTGGGCAACCCTGAGGTAATACATTTGTTGGATTGAAGATCTCACAATACTTCCCCATAAATAGTTTTGGACATTCACACCAATAAAATGGAAACTGATCCTGTATATGGCAAATGCCATTGTTTTTACAGGGATGGTTGTCACAGATCATATTGTTATGACACATAATTCCAGTTGGTCCACTGGGGCAGATACACTGTGGGCCAGAACGAGTTTGGATGCATTTTTCTCCTGCTCTGCATTTATATTGTCCGCATGTGTTGTTGTTGTGCTGACATTTTGATCCAAAAAATCCCTGTAAGAAAACAAAAACATTGTAATGTTTAATGACATTTAAGCAATTCTAAAATAGACAAATTCAATGCTTTACTCTTTATTTTTTCTATGGATTATTCATCACAGAAAATTCTCACTGCTCCTTTGCTGATTTTACTGTTACATTGAAAGAACTCAGAAGAATTAAGTTGGTACACAAGCATCCACGTGTCAGCTGGCTCAGCACTGAATCCACAGTGTGAAATGGATAGTCTGTCAGATATAGTGGTTTCAGTCTGATTGCAAATTATATTTGTAAAATTTTTCAAGCAGGTTTTTTTTTCTCCCAATATTGGCCTAGATTTAATCTATTTGGGTAAGTTTTCAAAAGCTTTAATAATTTTGGATAAACTTTTAAAATGATTAATACCTTTGAAAATTATATTATTTAAACATGTTAGATTAGTGATGTCCCGAACGGTTCGCCGAACAGTTCGCGAACGGTTCGCCACGGACTCATCATTGAGTAAACTTTGACCCTGTACCTCACAGTCAGCAGACACATTCCAGCCAATCAGCAGCAGACCCTCCCTCCCAGACCCTCTCACCTCCTGGACAGCTCACTAAGAATGCAGCTTCACAATGAATGTAAAATGGATGCTGTCCAGGAGGTGGGAGGGTCTGGGAGGGAGGGTCTGCTGTTGATTGGCTGGAATGTGTCTGCTGACTGTGAGGTACAGGGTCAAGTTTACTCAATGATGAGTCCGTGGCGAACCGTTCATGGCGAACCGTTCGGGACATCACTATTTTAGATATAAACAACATATCAAATATGAATATTAATATTTTAAAATGTATACAAAAATATTAAATAAATTGAAAAGCTTATAACATTATTTTTTTTAAATTAAGGTAATTTTTTAAGAATCAAAGCTGTCTGATGTCCATGTGTACAGCATAGTCCTTCTATTACAGATGTCATAATAAACCAGGAGTGTTTGAGTGGTTTATATCTTCTGATGACATTATTTTTCCATAACACACTATGCACTGTTGTGTCTTTCATATTACATTATATTTTTGATTAGGATTATTGGTCCTGCAGGGGGGTAGAATTTTTGAAAAAAATCTACTTGTTTGGGCACAAAATAATTGCAATTACAAAGATTGGGGCCACTGCCAAGAGACCTAGACATTGACAAGGCTATTTGCTTGAAGGGGAATAAATTGTTTTACCTATGCAATGCTTAGTGAATATTCCCCTAGACCAGCTGGTGTTCCACCAAAAGTTTAAAAAATAAAATGGCCACAGGCGACGAGGGAGCAGTGATCTCCCTACTCAGCTCTCTCGTGGGCGCAGCAGTATATGACGTCACTGCGGCTCCGACATCAGGAGGGAGCTTGGCAGGGAGATCCCCAGGGACTGCATGCTCAGCACGCCAGCCACTCAGCAGCCCCACTGGAGCCTAAGGGACTCCATGCCAGCACTCCTAAAGGTAGAGGGCTGGGTGGAGTAAAATGTAAAAAATAAATTTAAAAAAATTGTATGTGTGTCTGTAAGGGAGTTTGTATGTGTGTTTGTTAGTGAGTGTGTGAGTGTATGTTTTGTCAGTGAGAATGTATATGTGTTTTTAGGTGTGTCTGTAAAAGAGTATGCGTGTTTGTCAGTGAAAGTGTATGTGTGTCTGTCAAAGAGTATGTGTGTATCTGTGTGTCAAGGAATGTGTCACTGTGTGTATCTGAGTGTGTCAGTGTGTGTATATGCCAGTGTGTATCTGTGGGTGCAAGTGTGTGTATATGTCACTGTGTGTATCTGAGTGTGAATGTATTTGTGAGTTAAGATGTGTGTGTCAGTGTGTATCAAGGTGTGTGTATCTGTGTGCCACTATGTGCCAGTGTGTGTATGTATCTGTGGCACACAGATACACACACTGACATAGATACACACCTTGACACACAGTGTGTGTATGTGTGTACAGATACATACACACACATACACACTGTGTGTCAAGGTGTGTGTATCTGTGTGCCACTATGTGCCAGTGTGTGTGTATCTGTGTGTCAAATATACACACATACACACACACAGATACACACACTGGCACATAAAAGCACAGATACACACACTTTGACAAACATATATGATATACACACACCTTGACACACAGATACATACACACACACACAGATACACACTGTGTCAAGGTGTGTGTATCTGTGTGTCAGATTCATACACACTGGCACATACAAACACAAATACACACACCTTGATACACAGACACATAAAAACACAGATACACACACTATGACACACAGATACACTGTGTGTCTAGGTGTGTGTATCTGTGTGTCAGTGTGTGTATCTGTGTGCCAGTGTATGTATCTGTGTGTCAAATACACACACACTGGCACATACGAGCACAGATATACACACCTTGACACACAACGGTACAATTTTGTTTTCTGTTGTACACACCCCTAAGAAAACTGTTTTTCATATAATACAATGCACACGCATTAAAAGGCTACTACTTTCTTAAATTTCAGCATGACTGGTCTGCATTAATTGTTCTCTGCAGTGAACGCACAAAGAGACAAAGGAAAGCAAGATGTGTTAACTGCATAAGTCCATGGCAGCTTAAGGGTTACAAACCCTGTAAAATTTTGCAGCCTAACATTGCTAAACTCTGAATTATTGCAAATTAAAAAATGGAGGCAAATATAGCTGATCTAGAAAAATTCTCCAACTCTGCTATGGTCACAACATGGCTATTTTAGCCTCAGTTTTGCAATTTGGATTTATTTAGCAAAAATTCAGTTTTGTCAATTACGTATGCTATTCCATGATCTCTCCCTTTTTGATCCCTGTGTGTCATGTGTGATGTTGAATGCTGACTGTGCGTGGTGTGTGCTGGCTGTATGTAACCTGTGTGTGTGTTGGCTGTATGTCATATGTGTGCGTGTGATGGCTGTATGTCATTTGTGTGCTGTATGTAATGTGTGTGCTGACTGTATCTGAAGTGTGTGTGTGTGTGTGTGTGCTGTCTGTATGTGGTTGTGATTATGTAATTGTGCTAAACTTTCTCATACACACATACACTGACCCATACACAAACACACTGCACACTAACATATACATCCACTAACACACACTCACCCATTGACTGTGTAGTACTGGGTCTGCAGCCTGTCCCATGCTCTCTCTGCCATGCACATCTAGGAATCTAGCAATTCAGCTCTTGATCAAGGCAGATATGCTGAAATGCAGGTCAAGCCTATATGCTGATTTACTGATTTTATAACTGTTTTTGTTTGTGTGTCTAAGGATGGAGGTTATTTACTTATAAGGTTGAGAGATACTACCATTTATTTTCCTGGGGCTATGATCTACTTAGTCCAGATTTAACTTAAATAAAGCCTTGAAGCAGCTGTTCTCTAGGTCTGGATAACATAGTTTTGCTCCAGCTTCATGTATAATTTATAGGAAATTGTGAGCTACTAGTACCTAGGGCATCCTAAGATTTTATACTTTACCCATTCAGCACCAGTATTGGGTTTGGAGTTATCTTCATGACTTTTCCTGTATAAACCACATAATCTACCTCAGTACTGTGGGTATTGATGGAGTTTACTTCAGTTGATTTTTTTTTTCTTTCAGCTTTGCAACTAATTATAGCCACAGGATTTTCCTACATAAACAAATATTTTAATTACATCTACTTACTCAAGTTAACCCCTGGGAGTTTGAGTACTTCCCAACAGGATTTCTTTGCAGACCTGTGGCTGTTTGTGGCTACCGTAGAGGTGGATTAATTTAAATGTGAAGTGCTTCTCCCTTCTAATACTATATACCATTCACTTGAATTTGATACTTTGTTGTTTTTGATACATACCAATCTGGGATTTAGTTTAAATTTAATTTTAGTAGCTCACACGGTTTCCATTTTTTACTACAATTGACACGGATCTATGTAGGTTTCCCCTCCTTTTTAATAGATAGTGATTATCACTTTTCACTATTTGTTGCACCTATTTTGCATGTCAATTTATAATAAAGTTTATTACCTATAAGATGATTTTTTATTTAATTTAAAGGCAATTCCGGTGGGGTACAGGGCATCCCTTTTTCTGGGGAGCCGTCTGACCTCATTAGTTGTATTCATTGTCTATTTGTATCATTAAGGTTAAGTCTGTATTACCTCTGTAACCTACCCCTGGCAACAGAGTAAGTTTCCTTACATCTGTGGCCAAGAGGTGTGTTTTTATATATATATATATATATATATATATATAAATTTTTGCTATATTTATGTGTACCTGTGGGCCCCCAACTACCTGTTTGTTGCAGAGGGGGCTCTGAGGACACACTCACTTCTCTTCCCAGCAGCGCCCCTGTCTAAATCTTGCGAGTCCCACGGCTGTCCCACTGGTTACCATGGCAGCGCTACATGCTGGCCACGAGAGTTTGACAGGGGAGCTGCTGGGAAAGGAAGTGAGAGTGTGCTGCGGGCTCCCTCTGCAGAGTCCAGCGGCTGGCTGCAAACACCATACCACAGGACCACCAGGGAACGCGATCTGCCTCTTCCCTGGCCAGGTAAGAAGCAGGAAAAGGAGACTAAAACAAATTAAAATATATAAAAAAAATAAAATAAAAATAAAAAGAAAGAAATGCAAACACAAACACACTGCATTCACTATACACACACACTACACAAACACACACTACATCCACTATACACAGACACTACACAAACATGCACTCCACATTCACTATACACACTGTATCTAATACACACAAACAGCCTTCATTATGCACAAACACACACTTTGCATACATCTAATACACACAAAAACACACTCTGCATCTAATATACACCTCACACATTACACAAATGTACAATCTGCATCCACTATACACACTGCATCTATTACACAGACACATCGCATCCACTTTACACACGCACTATGCATCCACTACACACATTCTACACTACGACCCGGGGGCAGCCATGTGGGCGGACTCGGGGGCAGCCCTGTGGGCAGGCCCCCGGGGCGGGGGCAGACCTTAACATTTTTGATGGCATGCCCCTACTATTTGTAATCACCAGCAGATGTATTTCAGCTCCAATAAAGCCTTCTTCAGTGCTGTTTGACCTCCTCACGGGCAGGTTTAAATATCCCTAATTGTGGTGATACGATCAGACTGTGTCAAATGTGTCACTTAATTTCTGGTAAGATGTAACGTGTCTCTTGCTGTTCTCTTTTTTTTTTTTGTGTTCCAAAGCAGCACAGCCATTATTGCTTCACTTTCTTCATTCTACTCCACAAAACTATACAAGAGAATTCCATCTTGCTTATGAGCAAAATGCCAACAATTTAAATAAAACCATTAAGACAGAGGACATAGGTAATAGCAAAAATGCATATAGGAGTATTCAAGGGTTATATACAAACAAGAGGGGTGGAGCTGGCAGTGTTTGGGAGCAGACGCCATTTCCCCCAACTCCTCACCAGAAAATCTATTTATCGCCTATAACTTGCGAACCACCCGACATCCAGGGACGCAACAGCGATTTATGTGCTGCACACAGGACCCGTGAATGCCCTTTTTATATACTTCGGGCACCAAAACCCAGCGCAGAGTGCCTCGGGCCTACCAGGCAGGAATCCCGCGGCTGCCGCACATTACTCCCTGGAACGGAGACAGATTTGACTCGGCCCTTGGGGATACCAGAACACACAATGGCTGCAAATCCCAGAAACCGGCTTCGAGCACAACCAAATCAAACCACGATATTAGCCAGATACTGGCACCAACTCCCTGCACAAGGGGGATTTTACCCCCCTGGCCGGAGACTACTCCCAGCCCAGTAGTGAAGAAAGCACCCACGGACGAGGCCCGAGCTGCACTTGGAGCAGACACACCTGTGACAAAGCAGGATATACATGACCTACTGGCACACCTCCAGGACATGTTCTTTGCAGAGATCAACCTGGTTAAAACTGAGCTACAAGCAGTCACAGACCGCCTCCAAGCATCTGAAGAGGACACTGTTGACATGAAGCAAAGCATGACAAGTTCAACTCGTAAGGAATCAATACAGCACCTGCCAAATTTCCACTCTCAATTAACTGCAAGAATAGATGCACTAGAAGACCAGAGCTGTCAAAAGGGGGTGGGGGGAATGATCCACTGACGAGCTCCCACATTTCATCAGGTGACTTATTGCATCTATCCTTCCAGCCTAACATGCTAAGCAGTTCTCTTATGACGGACTCTACTGCATTGCAACATTCTCTCAAATGCCAGATGATGTCCTATGCGGACAAACAAAGACTGTTACAGGCGCTGCTGGCGTGCACAGTTTAGATAACAATCCCCATACTAAGCTTGTTATCTTGCTGTTAGTCTCAGACAGGTGTTGTTTTTATTTGTACACTTAATTTTAATACATGTGTGCTTGGTGGTGTTTTTCACCTCATTTATTCATTATCCCATAAACCCCTTAAGGACCACACTTCTGGAATAAAAGGGAATCATGACATGTCACATATGTCATGTGTCCTTAAGGGGTTAAAAGTTAAGTTTTAATACCAATTAGGAGGTTGCACTTTATGTTCTTGTATTAACGTCCCTAGAATAATAGGATAATCTTTAGGACCTTCAGTAACTTATCCGAAGAGCACTTGTTAAATAATGGACGATGGTAAATAGAAGTGTATCCATACAAATAGAATTTTGGGGCGATATGCTCCTTCATTGTATTTTCTTAAAACCATCATGGGTTAACAAAAGGTTTTAACCCCTATAAACATATTATTTACACATTCATTCAGATTAACATCCTTACGCCATAAGGATAGCTTTTGGGACTTTCTGCAATGATAAGCACTCGTTGATTAATACGCGATGGGCAAAATGTACTCATACTAACTGATCTTGGGGGCGATATGCCCCTCCATTGTACTTTCTCAAGCAAATCAGGGGTTAAAGTGAGCTGAATGGGGTCATGATAGGGGGCTGGTC